CAATATTATACAGTTTCTCACCACCTGCCGACTGATGCACTGCCAGGTCCCAAGAAGTGAGACTCAGAGCAGAGAGCCCGAGAGCTGCAGCTGGAGAGTGATCACAGCAGAGTCTGAGCAGATGCTATCAGTGACAGCACGACCGGGAAAGCTCACCGACTCACTCACGAGCCAGCAAAGGAGTCAGCAAAGCAGCTAACAAAGGAGTTAGAGTGTCAGCCAGTGTAAGATAGTGAAGAGTGATAATGGCCCCCAATCCCACTCCCCCCTGAAGTACCAAGCATGATGTACTATGGAATGAAATACGCCTTCAGTCAGTTTGGGTCAGCTGTCTGAACTGTATGTCCCCCACACTGCTTGTGGTGAGGAAGTTGGGAACACAGCTGCAGTATCAGAAGCTGAGAAAGACCTTGAATTTGGTGTACCAGTACCAGCTAAAAAGACAACTTCTCAGTACTTTTCTCAATGTGAATCCAGAAACACGGCTTCATACCAGCCACTGTGAAGGAAGTTAATTCTTTCCTGACTAAAACCAGCACAGAAGTGTTCCTGAGATTTCTTGTAGTTAATAGCTGGATATCCACTCCCAGTGGCAGACTTAGTCATATACCTGAGGATCAGATCTTCAAACATTTAATCATGGCCATAACTCACATGGCTGAGCAGGAGGAAGATGCTTGGCAACAACTGTTCTTCCTGTTTGAGGAGGAAGCTCTTTGGAAAATCTGGCCCTGGCTGTTGCCATCTAATCCAGCCCCGGTTGTATGTGGGTTGAGAAACTCATAGACCACTCCTTGGTGCATCATACCACGCATGGCTAGCGGTCACTTTTGGGCAGAGCGATGTACCAGTGTTGTGATGGGACAGCATCTCCAATGTGTGTCTGTTCTTGCTGTACAGGGACAACTGTCTATGTAGGAGAATTCAGGAGATGGGTGACCATGGAGCTGGTGCCCAGTCTACTGGTCATCGCTGAAACAGGAGTTGCTTTTTCTGCAGGTCTCTTAACTGAGGGAAGTGGGGAGAAATCTGGGATCAGGAAATGGAAGGTGAACAGTGAATCCCAAGTTGAAGCTCTGGAAAAAGATGAGGACAAGGTGGGAGGTGCCAGTGCCAAGGAACCAAAGGAACCCCAAGAGAAAGCTTCTTCCAAGAAGAGTTTTGTCTGCAAAGCCTGCGATAAGACTTTCCACTTCTACTGCCGCCTGCAGGTGCACATAAAACGTTGTCGGGTGGCCAGAGGAAAGCAAATCCAGTGTAAGGGGTGTAGTGAGGTCAAATCAACGAAGAAGGAGCTGGAGAAGCATCAGCTGGAAGTCCATGGAGTGGTGGGGCCAGCCAAGAAGAAGAAGAAGCAGCTCCCCGTGGCATGCGACATCTGTGGCCGAGAATTTGCTCATGCCTCAGGTAGGGTAGGTGGGAGCAGGGGTGTTTGAACAGAAGTCTGGACAATATAATAAAGTGATAGTCTGAAATCTCCTTTTCCTCCTTCTCTTCCTCCGCCCTGCAGCTCTGTGAGTGATGTGTGTGAGAAACACAGCTCAGCTCATTTCTCCTGCCCCACTGAGCAGAACCACTGTCTTGATTACTTTTTCCCTAATTGGTTTTCATCATGGCTCATCAAGGAAAAGTGGGGCTACTGGCAAATTTAAAAGCCTCCAAAAATAATCAAGCTGTTCCAGTTCTGCAGCTGGTTTAGCAGAACGAGTAAGAGGAGTTGACTCTCTTTGCCCTCCCTGTGACAGCTCACAGTATCCTGGTGGACCTCCAGGCTGGAGGACACTGGTGGACTCCCAGTGTTTTGGGTGACCTGGTAAGTCTCCAGGCTGGGTGGAGTGGTGCCTCTGCAGCAGGGTCAGTCAGGGCTGGCACTGGGTCCACCAATGCCTCCTCAGTGTCCTGCCTGTCTCCCCAGGGATGCAGTACCACAAGCTGACGGAGCACTTCGACGAGAAGCCCTTCTCCTGTGAGGAATGTGGAGCCAGGTTTGCAGCTAACTCCACGCTGAAGAACCACCTGTGGCTACACACAGGGGACTGGCCCTTCATGTGCAAGCATTGCCTGATGACCTTCATGCAGGCCTCAGCCCTTGCCTACCACACCAAGAAGCAGCATGCTGAGGGTGAGCCTTCCCCACGGGAGACCAGCTGTGGGCTTCGCTTGTTCCATCCACCCCTTTGTCCTCTGTTCCTCCATCTGCCTCCTGGCTTCTTCCCCATCCCCTTCTCCAGGTTCTCCGATTAGCCACCCATTTAGCAGTTTGCTAAGTACCTCCTCTCTGTCCCATCACATCTAGATTCCTGTGATGTGTCCTCCCTCTCATTACCCTTTCTCCCGTCCCTCCCTCTGGCTGAATTTCACATAGTTTTTCATGCCAGGGCTTCTCCTGACCCTGCACCCAGCCCCTTTCACTACCAGGGCATGAGCATGTTGCAGCTGGGCAATCAATTTTGAACATGAGACATGGCAGCATATAGTACCTCCAGAATCTTAGAATCATAGAATAGTTTGGGTGGGAAGGGACCTCTAAAGATCATCTAGTCCTGCAATGTCCCTGCAGTGAACAGGGACATCTTCAATGAGATGTTCAGTGTTGCTCACAGCCCCGTCCAACCTGACCTTCAATGTTTCCAGGGATGGGACATCTACCACCTCACTGGGCGACCTGTTTCAGTGTTTCACCACCCTCATTGTAGAAGATTTCTTCCTTTCATCTAGTCTAAATATACCCTCTTTTAGTTTAACGCCATTACCCCTTGTCCTAACAGGCCCTGCTAAACGGTTTGTCTCCATCTTCCTTATAATCCTCTTTAAGTACCAAAAGGCTGCAATAAGGTGTCCCCAGACTCAGGCTGAACAACCCCAGCTCTGTCTTTCCTCATGGGAGAGGTGTTCCATCCCTCTGATCGTTTTTGTGACTTCCTCTGGACCCATTCCAACAGGCCTATGTCTCTCCTCTGCTGGGACCTCCACAGCTGGATGCAGCACTCCAGGTGGGGTCTCACCAGAGCAGAGTACAGGGGCAGAATCCCCTCCCTCGCCCTGCTGGCCACACTTCTCTGGATACAGCCCAGGATACGGTTGGCCTTCTCGGCTGCCAGCGCACACGGCCGGCTCATGTCCAGCTTTTCATCCCCAAGTCCTCCTTCACTGGGCTGCTCTCAATCCCTTCACTCCCCAGAGAGTGTTGATACTGGGGTTGCCCTGACTCAGGTGTACAGGACCTTGCACTTGGCCTTGTTGAACCTTGGGAGGATCACGTGGGCTCGTTTCTCAAGCTTGTCTCAGTTCACACAGAAGAGTGTGGTACCTCCAGATACTTGAGTCTTGTAGTAATTTAATACTCCCTGTGCAGGTGTGGTTTTCTCCCGCATCTCTAGGACCCTTTTGACCCTGCACTTGAGATGCTCTGGCTACCCCAGGAAAGCCTACGCAGTTTCTAATCGCTCTCCTCCCCCTGTGAAATCAGGCATAGGCCTGGCAGATCTCCTGTCCCGGTAGGTGCAGGCTCTCACCCTGGCTGTCACTGCAGGGAAGATGTATGCCTGCCAGTACTGCGATGCTGTGTTCGCCCAATCCATCGAGCTGTCGCGCCACGTCCGGACTCACACGGGGGACAAGCCCTATGTCTGCCGGGAGTGTGGGAAAGGCTTTCGCCAGGCCAACGGGCTCTCCATCCACCTCCGGACCTTCCACAGTGAGTGTGACCTGCTGCCTCCCCAGCTTGGACAGGCCAGCCTGTGAGGCATGGCTTCTGCAGGGTTGTGGCAGACCCGTCTGTGCCACTGGAGGCTTGTGCAGGTGTTACTGGTGCCTGCAAGCTGGCTGGGTGTCTTGTGGTGGGATTTTTCCCTCCCAAGAAAAGCAAGACTGTGTAGTGGTTTGATGCTATGAGTAGGGTTGTCCCAAAGAAGATGGATGGGGTGGCTTCCAGCAAACTGCAAGCTGCTGGGAACCCGCCACAGGAAGCTGTAGGTGAGTGGGAGCAGCAACATCTGTATGCAAAGCCAAAACTCCAGTGCTGGTTTTTGTCGGGGTAGTAACACATGTTGGTTTTCCCTTTGCTTTCCTCCCTCTGTGAATGCTCTTCTTAATTCTTTTCTTATTTGCTCTTTGCTTTCTTTGCCTTGATTTCTTTGTGGTTTTGTTCTGTTTCTGTGTGGCAGACATTGAAGATCCCTATGACTGCAAGAAGTGCCGGATGAGTTTTGCCACCTTTCAAGAGCACCGCAAGCATGTCGACGAAGCCCACTCCCAGGATTACCACCCCTGCCCTACCTGCTCCAAAGTTTTCAGCGCCCCGTCACTCCTGGAGCGCCACGTAGTGACCCACGATGGAGGAAAGCCCTTTAGCTGTGAGATTTGCGACAAAGCTTACCAGGTGAACTGATGCAGCAAGGATTTGGTCTCATGCTAGAGGTGCCATTGCCTTCTCCTGCCCCAGGTTGTCTCTCCTGCCCCAGGTTGTCTCTCCTGCCCCAGGTTGTCTCTCCTGCCCCAGGTTGTCTCTCCTGCCCCAGGTTGTCTCTCCGGCCCATGTGCAGAGTGCAGCTGTTTGGGGTCAGCAGAGGGAAAAATTGCACAGGGGAGGCAGAGTCCATAGGGAAAAGGCAGGTACATGAAGTGAGATGGGCCGTGAGTACATCCCTGTCCGTCTGGACCCTCAGGAATCTTTTTTACCCAAGTTTCTAGCTGTCAGGAAGCGTAGGAATAAAAACACTTGCGTTGCAAATGGCATGCCTCTGTGGCAGTATGTGTGGGGGCACATTCCTACAAGGGAACAGAAAGGGAGACCAAAAGGAGACCTGCAGCGAGTGAGATGAGGATGAGGGAGTTAGCAGTGTTCAGCTCTTCAGGAGCAGCAGAGAAACAGAAGTGAGGTGTGAGATCTTGCCCTGTGGGAGGATGAGCAGGTCTGGTACCTGCTGAGCACAACCCCACTGTTGTTTTCCATGCAGTTTCTTACTGTCACGATGCCCCTGGAACAGGTTCGGATTCTAACTGTGATTTGATCCTTGTCATTGCAGCAGTTGTCAGGGTTATGGTATCACAACCGGACCCACCACCCATCACCGCTATTCCAAGTTCTTCTCCCTGCGGTGCAGCTCATGTGACAAAACCTTTTCCAGCACTGCTGCTCACCACAAGCATGTCAAGGCAGAGCACACAGGTAACAGCCCATTTGTTAGTGAACAAAACCACGTGGTGACTGCTGGGAGAGATGTGGCGATAACTCTGCTAGGACAAGGTTGCACATCCTATTTACCTGTAGATCACAGTAGGTTCTTTGTAACCTGTAGCAGTCTCTTCTGGCAAGTCTCATCTCGCATCCTGCAGCTCGTGTGCTTTTGGTGTCTCCTTTTCCTGCCTTGCCTCCAAGGATGTTCCTCATATCTATATGCATACGGGGTGTTGCTGGAATGCTAACAGAGCTCTGGTCCAGAAGGCCTCTTGTAGAAGACCTTGGGAGCACATTTTCTATTCTTGGCCTTGTCTGCAGATGTGAAGTTCCATGAGTGCGAGACGTGCAAGGAGCTCTTCCCCACAGTGGCTCTCCTGCAGGTGCATGTGAAGTGCAGGCACTCAGGTCTGATACATTTGCTGTTCATGTTAGCAATGACTGCTCCTCTCAGTGACTGATGTCTGTAAGTGTGAAATTGAAGATGGACATGGTGAGGAAACAGGAAGTATAGGTGAACTGGAAAAGCACTGGTTTCGGTGAGACTGGGACGTGTTAAGCTTCTGGAGCTGTTGGAGTCAAGGAGGGTTCTGGATTTGCATGTTACAGCAGAGGAGAGAGCTAAGTGTTGGTGAGGAGATGTCAGCACAGAGAAATGAGGAACTGAACCCAAGCACTGGGGATTGTGGAGGCTAGTGGGAGACTGGGGAAAAAAAAAAAAAAGGAGTTTAGCACCAGAAAGATAGGTGAGGGACCTGGGCTTGGAGAGAACATGTCTGTCTAGGGCTGTTTGGCAAGTGTGCGAGCTGAATCAAGGCTGTGAGGGCAGAGTGAACTGGCACACTAAACTGCTATGAAAGATGGGTCCTCAGGGCTGTGCATGGGATAGCAGGAGAGGAGATGGTCAGGAGACATTGGAGGTGGCAGCCAACAGCAGTCTGGAGAGTGAGGAAGGAGAAGACCTAGTCACAGCATGCTCTGAGAGGGGAGATCTGCTGGGGTGGATAATGTGTTTGCAGTAGCTGGATCAGGAGATGCAAGCCAAGCCAATAAGGAGCAGTGCTGGATGGTGCAAAGGAATATGGAGAGAGATTTCTGCAAGAAGGGACAGCCGCAGCTACTATCGGATACATCACCCTGGTTTCTGAACACTGGTGCTGTGGGGAGCTAGAGCTAAAATGGACCAGAACAACCACAGGCTCTTTGACAGACAGTATTGTACCTGGAAGGGACACTGGCACACACCATGCCCTGAGTCTCTGCTGGGTTTCAGCCCTGCACATCCTGGCCATTTGCAGCTCCCTGTGCCCTTGGGCTGGCCCTGGTCATTGCAGCCCAGGCTCAGGGCAGTGCTTCTTTCCCCAGGCTCCCAGCCATTTTGCTGCTTGTACTGCTCAGCATCCTTCTGCTTCCCAGGGGCCCTCCAGAACCACATCACCAGTGAGCATTTCAAGCAGATGGAGAGCACCTTCACCTGTGAGCTCTGTGGGGAGCTCTTCTCCTCACAGAGCGAGCTGGAGGGACACTACGGGGCTGAGCATCCCAAGGTGGTCTTGTCCCAAGCCACCACGGCCCAGATTGTGCAGGTAAAGACTGCTCTGTGCCACATCCCCTGTAGTTGTTCATCCATCCTCCCCCCGCAACCCTCTTATTCTTCCCAAATCCATCCTGCAGCTCCTGTCACCCCTTCTGCTGCTTGATTCCCCTTCTTACAGAGGTCCAGGATGCAAGTCCTCCCACAATGCTCTGGGATTTCTGTGCTAGTGAGGGGTGGACTTGCTGGTGGGGAGGCAGCGCAGTTGGGTTTTCAGGAACTGAGGAGGAGGGACTGACTGTGTGCAGAGGTGCCTGGTTATTCAGAGGCTATTAAAACCCAGATGACGTACCCCGTGAGGTCATACCTGTTTTATTGGAGGCCAAATGCTAGGCTTGAACCCGGAATTCCTCTCTTCAATATCTCAACCATCAGTGGAGAACAGCTCCTTGGATGAGGGAGCCCAGTGTGAAAGATTCCTTGGGCTGGCATTCCTCCAGCAGGTAGTCAGAGAGTGTTTATTGTCTATGACTGCTTATGGAGCTAAATCATAGCAATTTTGTGGAGAGAAATATTTAAATTACTCTTCTGTCTTCTCTTTTGCATCATCGGTGTGTGTGGTTTGGTGTTTCCCATTACTCCCATGCCAGCTGTAATTGCAGATCTCTGGCATGAAGCTAAATGGGTCTGAGAAAGATGTGGGTAGCAAAGTAATTGTGGAGAAGGCAGTGCTGTAAGTGTCTGACTCTCATGTCATCTTCCATGCAGGTGATTCAGATGTCGGAGCAAGGAGCAGCAGAGCACATCATCTCTTTTAATGAGGCCCAACTCACTGGCTCTCAAGTCTTCATGACGTTGCCTGATTCCCAAGTGAGCCAAGGTGGCTCTGAGCTGGTGGAAGTGACCATTGAGGATTTGTTTCATGACAGTGTCACTCTGATTTGTGAAGAAACCAAGTGAGGGTGAGCGGTGGATGCCCGTGCATGGTGCCTGGTGCCCACTAGACTTGTTCAGGAGCTGTACCTCAATGTGCTGCTCCAGCAGGGAGATTGGGGTTTGTTTGGGAAACCAACCCCGGGTATGGGATGCTGTAAAAGAAACGACATACAGCAAGCACAGCATGGCGAAGGACCGGACACGTTTGTAGACATTCACAAGGGCCTGGGAAGTCTCCCTGCAGTTAGCAGCTGCCAGCTTAGGTGGGTTGCACCACCCATCCTTCCCAGCTTAAGAGAAATAGAGAGGAAAAGATGGGAATTGGATGTGTTCACGTGTGTTTCTTCACTGTGGTGAACAGAGTGGAGGGGAGGAGACGTGCAGGACCATGTTGGGGTGGTATGGGTATGTGAAACCAAAGAAAAAGCTGTCCTGAGAATTTGGGGTGGAGATTTTTATGGCTGTGCTCGCAGGTACCTGCTACTCTGCTGGGTGAGTAAGGGCTGCTTTGTTTATTTTGCCACTCTCCCCTGTACTGTTGTGCTGCCTGTTGTGCCAGCTAGAAAAGTCCCCCAAGGCAAAGCAGACATTTGGGCCTCTCTGCTCAAGCAGAGGCTTCTTGTGAGTTGTGTTAAGTGACTTCAGAGCTGTTTAGGTAATAGCTTGTGTAGCACAGGTCTGATCCTATACATGTTTTTGCTGTGGTTTTCTGTTATGAAGAAGGGTCATAGGCAGGTCTGGGCATCCACATCCTCTTTGCAAGCAAACGGCCCTGATGCTTCCCATCCCTCCACAAATTCACTGAGGATATGCTGAAGCTGCCACATCTGAGAAAGGAGAAGGAGCTGTGCCTACATGCCAGAGCCCCTTGTTGCTGGTGTCAGTGGGTTGGCACTGATGAAGGTATTTCTGTCCGTGCAGTGGCTGCTGTGACTGCCCAGAGACATTCCCGGTGGCACACAGGGCATTGCTTTGTAAAATGCACTCAGATACCTACTCTGAAGTTTGCTTTTCTGGTGCCAGCACAATGCAACAGCTTCATCGCAGCAAACTGGCCCCTTTAAGGCTAAATTTCATGAAGTATTTTTATCTGCAGTTTCCTAAAATATAATCTGATAATTAATGGTTTGCTGAATCCATTACGAAGTGCAATTAGATAGATGCAGGGTTCCTGTGGCTCTGAGGGGACTGGTAGCATTTATCTTCCTTTCTCTCATGCCAAAAGGTTGAACTCTGCCACTGTGATATTTACATACTGAGTGGTGGTCCCCCCCTACGTCTCGCAGCCCGAGACCCTGCCGCGAGCAGCGCGTGTTCTGTCATGCTGAGAGGGGAGCACGGGAAATGAACAGATTGGAGTTTTCCAGCAGCATTTTGTGATGGCTGCTCACAGTTACCAGACAGAGATGGTCATACAGGAACGTGATGAAAAGAAGTGAACAGCAAGCAGTGACCCTAGGAGAGGCACTGGGTGGACTGATTGTTGTTCTTGCATGTCTTTTTTTGTGTGTGTGTATGTGGCAACAAATGTATGACCCTGCTGAAGTGTTGCACGTGTCTTGATGTGCTCCCACCTTCCTCGGGTGCATGCGTGGTTTGTCCCCCAGGCTTTGCAGCGACAGTGAAATGGAGGAAGCATGAGGTTAAGTTGCCACTGAATCCAGAAATGACCAGGAGATGGTGCTCCAGGTCTTGAGGATTAGTGCTAATGGTCAGGTGCCTCTGCACCTTTGCTGAAGCTTCTCTTAGCCTTCCCAGGCCTTATACAGCCCCTGGGCTGGTAGGATGGAGACACCTTGAGCCACTGCCAAACTGAAGGATAACTCCAAGCCCTGGGCAGGACACTGCCAAACCCTGGATATGCTTAAAGAAGAGCCTGAAACTGGAATGTGGCCACCTGTGGAGAGGTTAAAATGCATCTGTAACTGAGATGGAGCAGCAAAAAAGCTGTGGATCCCCCTTGGTCAGGAGGAGAGGGGCAGTTGCTGGAGCCCGTCTCACACCTGCCTGGACACAGAATAGCTGCTTGTGGTGCTTAGGATGGGTGCAGAGATAACGATAGAACAAGCAAGTATTTCTTGATGGTGTTAGAGCAGATATAGAATCATAGAATGGTTTGGGTTAGAAGGGACCTTAAAGATCATCCAGTTCCAACCCCCCTGCCATGGGCAGGGACACCTTGCACTAGACCAGGTTGCTCTAGGCCACATCCAGCCTGGCCTTGAAGACATCCAGGGATGGGGCATCCACAGCTGGGAGGTAAGCAGTAGACTTTGTCCCAGAGGCGGGTGGAGATGGAAGCTGTTCCCCTTTTCTGGCTCTGGGGGGGCTGGGAGCTGTGCAGATCCTGCACAGGCTGTGTGAGTGCTCTGGAGCAGGGGATGAACTGTCCAGGCTGTGCTTTGCAGATGTTGTAGCTTTCATTTAGGAGCCAATATCTGCAGGGAGCGCTAGATGAAGCTGATCTCCCTTTGTTCCTGAAAAACTCTGGAGGAAGGGTAAAGGTTTAGGGAGAAGTTGCCTTATTTATAGCCCTCATAAGGTAGAGAGCTTGGCTAGGGAAGAGTATGCAAGTTATGCATTTTGACTTGGATCCATTTGGTCCCTTTTGACTGAGTGTTGTCATACTCAGTGTGACACAATGTTACATACTGACTCTGTGATGTGATGTGATCAGGTGCAGTTCAGGCTCATGTCTCCTGTTTAGGGTCATCTTTCCTGCTTTTGTGGACGTATCCATGGCAGAGTCCTGCCAGTAGTGTACACTCAGTGAGAGCTCTGCAGTTGCTATCAAGCATCTCCCGTATCAAGCATCAAGACTATCGAGCATCTCCTGTATCATTATGAGGAGAGAATAACTCATATGCTCCCATTCCAGTTCCTTCCTGACGGATGAAATATGCACGCCAGAGCAAATTGCAGTGTTAGCAATACCCATGTCCTACCTGGAAGGAAGACACGTTTCCCAGGGCACATCCTGGTCTGGCATGCACAATGATGAAGATGCTGATCACTAGTGATTTCTTGTTATGCTGCATATTCTTTTTTTTTTTTTTTCCCCTCTGTAAAAATAAACCACGGAGAATGAAAGATGTAGCTGCACAGCGTAATGTGAAGCAATTGATTGGAAGAAAAAAATCCTTATTTCTGAAAACAGGACTTTTGCAAGTCTTCTCCCAGGTGCTGGGTGACCCATTGGGTTATGTGGGGTCCTGTTCCCCTCTTGACCTTGGTGTCACCCTCTGTAAGGAGCAGAGGAGCTATTGTCAGGTTAGGCTGGAACACAGGATGGTCCTGCCCTTTGTTGTGTCCTCGTGTAGCAGGTGCCAGATGCTTCTGGGAAAAGGGCGGTGTGCCTGTAACAGAAGCCTGGAGAGTAACATTCCATGGAGGTTAATTATTTGTATCTGATCATGCATTAATTGGTTCCTGGATTAAGCATGTGACTGTTAGGAAGGGTCTGTTTTCTGCACAGCTTTCATTCTGACCAGGTGTCTGTCCTGTTCACTGAAGGATCCTTTGGAAAAAGGCTGGGTACGGCAGTGGCTGTGACCAGCCCCGGTTTGGCGTTCCCAAAGCAAAGTGTAGTTTTGCAGCCCCAAGGTGTTCTTTAGCACAGTATATACAAATTCTGTGCTCTGGGCTTTGTTTTTGGTTTGTGGGGTTTTGTTTGTTGTTGGGGTTTTTGTTTGTTTGTTTGTTTTGTTTTATTTTAAATCCAACGCCACTGTGATTAATGGCAAAGATGCTGCTGCCTTGCCCAGAAGCGAGGGATGGAGATGGTGGGAGCAGGGAGAGAGCTTGGACATTGCTTGAAGCGTCTCCCGAGGGAGAGGAGGAGGAGAGCAGGTACCAGTGGTCTGAAAACCCTCTGTGTGAATTGGGCAAGGCCTGGCAGCCCCTGCGCTCCAGCTGATGCTGCTGTCTTGGCAGATTTCATTATCCGTCTGGCAGGCTGCCAGCACATCCCCAGTGAATTCAAGCACAGGAAAAGAGAAGCGACGTTTTCAACAGCCTCTAGCTCGGCAAACACCGAGCGGCATTTCACAGGGCAGAGATGAGACGCTGCAGCAGCAACCAGAGGGAATTCCCTCTCCCGAATGCCAGTGGTTTGCTGCAGACAGCGAGAGCTGAAGTGCTTCCCCGGGAGATAGGCTCAGTAACCTTTCGGAATGGGGAGGAGTAGGCTGACTGATGGAGGGGGCTCTGCTGCCACCAGCATCAGTTAATGTGTCTAATCCCCCAGCACAGGCAGCTGTAAGTTGCGGTAAGTCATCACAATTCCTAATTTTCTGTGTTAAAACAGTAATTCCTTTTATAGAGTCTCCAGCCAGCCTTTTGCACATGATGAGATCGCAAGCAGGAGCTCTCATTTTGCCTTCCCTGCACCTTTATGATCACTCCAAGCAAGAAATCTGTCTAGGTTTCTAATCATATTTAAGCAAACCTGATAAAGGGAGCTAGTTCTTAATCCACTTAATGCGAGACACGTGGGTGCTGTGTAGCGCCCTCTATACATAGCTCTTCTCCACAAACTGGAGTGGGGCCAGGAAGCACCCACGAGTCAGATCATGGCACCTGTTTTCTGTGACCTGCAAGGAAATAAAGTCCTTGGTGTCAAAGCGTGTGGGTGAGATGGAAGCAGGAGGAGCAGTAAGGAGCAGTGGGGAATCCAGATTGCCTGGCACGCGGGTGCAACAGAGCTGTGTGCATTTTAGCATGGCTAAGTATCAGGCTGTGTATCTAGGAAGAGGCAAGGCTGACCCTGCGGAGAGAGGAGGGGGCTGCCTGCCATCAGGGTGTCTGAAAGCGTCCTGAGGTGCTGGTGGTAACCAGAGGCGTGCGGAGCTTTCAGCGAGGGCTGGGGGCTCTAGTAGCTGCTTTTGGCAGAAGTCGGGAGGTGTTTGCTGGTGCCCGCTGCTCTGAGGATTTCTGTGGCTAGATGTCATTCCTGTACAGCTGCTCACCCACAGCAGCGTATGACAAGTAAATGACAAGCTGGAGGCTGTGCAGGCATCGACTAC